AATTGCCTACGAATTCACACACACTCACTCAACGCAAGCATAAACATATACTAACCGATTTGCTGAAGTGTTTCGGCTATCAGTGCTGCTGACGATGCCGCATCGGAACTGCTACATGAACTACTTCCAGTTCGATAAGTGGGTGCAGTACAGAAAGTCGGGGTCTGAAAATATCCAAGTGAATTTTTTATCACTTTGTAGACATCAAATTCAAGGTCTAGACGCCATCACTTAAAGTAAGGTTCATAATACGTCTTCAACTTAATTCCGATGATGCGGGCGGGTGCCACGCGGTTCACCGCAAACTATTGCACAACAAAGGATTCCTATGTGAGCAACAGTATGTCGACACATGGAAATCGCCAACACGTCACTTAGCAAAGGAATTGAGCCCAAAACCTCCATCAGTTACTGTAAAAATCGCACAATTTGTGAGGAGTTGGGTTCCGGTACGAACTTGTAAGTGCTAAGTGGCTCGACAGAAAAAAAAACGAGCAGAACACACCGTAAAACACACTAAACAGCCTACATAGTTGTTAGGAGAAACACATCGGGGTTGTACTTAGTAGCTGAAGAGCTCGTATCTGCTGCTGAAAGGTTTTTCCAAAGCGCAAGAGAAATTCTTCATTTGTTGATGTTTCCCGTTTCACCAGCACTGTACCTCCCCCCCATTCCCTCATTCCGCTCAATATCTAACTTTTGGGAGGACGGCTAACACTTTCAGAAAAATGGCAAGGAGTTGGAAGAAAATGGTAGAATGGCAGGTGGTTTGCGAGAGGTAGGCGTACCCAAGGAAGAAATTTGGAAAAATTAGTCTGTGGACCTGGTCAATAGGCCCAAACTTCTAAAGTATACTACACTGTGTAGACAATGAAGGCGGGTAGGCGGGTAGGGTGCAGGCGCAATGGATAGAGGCGAAAGAGACTGCGTCTTGATACAGCGATCGCGAACTGAAGTGGAAAGGATTGAGGCTGACCTCCGCGGGCGGAGTCTGACCATCGTAGCAGACCTCTGGCAGCCTTGCAACCTGCTTTCGAGTCGAGGAAGAGGCAGTTTCTCGCCGATCGCAGGACGAGAAACCTTGTGCAAGGGAATGTATTCTAGACACTAGGTAATCCCAGGATTTGCATTTGAATTCATATAGGGGAAATCATCGAAATAACTTTAAATGAAGCCCGATGGGCATTTAGCACTTAGAGAGCATGCGATAAGTGAATTCGCAGGGGTAAAAGACGCGCGAGGATAAGTCCACACAAGCGCGTGCGAGAGACACACAACGCACACATGACAGGGGGGTTAGAGGCATCCATAGCTGGATTGAATGTGGGCGGAGTTTTCGGTTAACAGCAAGCCTCTAGCGCTACTTGCCACACACTTTCGAGCGGCACAGGCGGGACACCCCTATGCACCTGAGGGCCTGTGCTCCCTATTTGTGGAGAAGACTTTGTCTTAAAAGATCTCACCTGTCACACTATCAATGCATGTTTGGAGATCGCCTGCGTGTTACATGACTTATATTAGCTCTCTAATGGCTGCCTGAAGTTTCCTCTACTTGACGATTACATCATAGATGACTGATTATTAACTGCTGATTTTTTTAGCAAATTTAATCGGACTAAGGACTGCAATTAAAAAATTTGAATTCACATGAAGCAATCAAAGATGGGAAAACATGGTTAAAATGCTTAAAAAGAACACATAAATGGGCTAGATGGTAGTGTTAGTACAAATCTAGGCATTTTCACAATATTCTTCCGTTTGATTGAGATGCGCGCATTTTGGAAGACATACAAGCAATCGAAGTTCAAAAAGGAAAAAGAAAACGTGCGCAAAGGGAAAGGGAGTGGTGTACTGCCGGAGACATCATGGAAAATCAGAGAATTGGTGGGAACGGAATAAAGGGAGGAGTTTTATCGTTCATGCTCTACTCTGCGTTACACAAAAGTTGGCTATAAGGATTTCACGTGATCAGCGTTAATACTTATTAGCGCTACGACCTTTATATACAGGTTGAGGTTGATAAAGAGATGCGCACGTTTTCACGTGTGGACGGTCATATTTTAGACGATATACGTCTCCGCTATAGAGGGACATCACGAAAGTCTTGCAGATTGCAAGCAGTGTCTCGCGCAGACACATTCAACCGTCAAGTAATTACAGAGCCTAGAAGTTCAGATCATTTGGGATACCTTCCATGATGAAAGCAATACGAATTTTTTCAATACGTGCCCTTTTCCGTATTTGATTGCAGTATATTTCATGTTATGGATAGTTTCATTTACAGTATGGTGTGGTGTAAGTGTTAATGTGTTTTTAGTAGGATATGAAGAAGTTTGAAGCGATTGAATAGAGAGGGATGGAGGTGGGAGAAATTTTGTGAGATTTTTCGTGTGAAATATGTAGTCTCGCTAGCTTTTTACGCTGCAACTCATCATTCTTGGTTGCGCCACCTTGTTGGCTATTGTTGCGTGTTAAGATGGAGCATTTTGGACTGTAAGTACGGTCGTCTGGTAGACGGAGAGGATTGCAGGAGTTAGTGGAGAGAGGTCAGTTTGAATCGTCAGGTGAACACGGCAGCGATTCTCTGTCCAAAGGCATGATAGTGTGAGATGAGATCGTGTTGGATGGAGGCGGTCACGAGACGACCGGGCGCTGAGTGGGTGTGATGAGCGAATGTCGCGATCATTGTGAGGTGGCGCGCCTGCCTCCTTGAGGTAATACTTAAAGGACTGGGTGTGTTAACGTTAAGACCGAACGCTTCGTGATAGCCGTTGATGGGCATGGAACATCCCTATTGTCGAAAACGGTGGAACTGTGAATTTCGACTTGGCGTGTGACTCATGAATCTACGGGAGCCCATATCAACATTCGAAGGACTCGCATCTAGCTCATTAACTCTAGCCCAGGTGACTGCGGGAACAACTGGAGAACACTCCAGCTCTAGCAGAAAGAAGAAGGTTATAAGTTAAGAATGTCTTCAAAGCCCATGTGATCCATCGTCTACAGTTGGTTAAAAACTTGTTTTCCCATGAGCTTGGGACCTTTCCCAGAGGTTTTGCAAAAAAAAACTGCGTACCAGTGGTCCCATTTAGCGAAAGAAAAATTACTTTCAAATACCGGTATAAATATTATACTGAAAACAGAAACACACATGAATGCTTCTGACACCAAAAGTGTTAACAATTTTTAATTGTTCTTGTTCAGAAACCGGGCATAGTGTGGTTCTCTGAAAGAAACGCGCAAATAATACATTTCTACTTGCAATTATGAAAAAAATATTTTTGCAGCTGGCTAGTTTTCATCTTTCTTCCAGAAATCAAGCAACCCACGCTAGCAAATGTCGTTCGTAGTTCGCCGGTAAAACTTTGCGGCCGTTGAACCCTTCCACTGGGTGCCATATTGAGGTCGAACTGAGATCCACCAACAGGGCGATACGACGGTGGTGGACCTTGCTGATGATTGACATTCTGTTGATGCGACGGAGGGACTTCCGGAGGAGGCGTATACCGGGCCTGAAGTGTTTCACCAATAAAAACCTTTACAAAAAGAAAACATAAACTTTTGCAGAATACCTTAGTAATACTTTTCTCGCTTGGTCGTCGCTGCAACGGCGGTTTTGACGGCGGAACGAACGTATGCGGCGTAATTCCACAGTGATTAGAGTTGTACCTGTGAGTATTACCAATTTAAAAAAAATGGAAAATCGGAAAGTGTAGAATTGGCAGGTGTTGAGGAGATATCGCGTTCAAAATGTCACTATAATTCTGAGTGAAAGTGGAATGCACGGCGCACCCTAGGAAGTTATGGATCGACGTCGAAAGCGTTACCCTTGATAGTAACTACCTTACTTACTTTATTCTACCTCATTGGGAGCGTGCTGTCTCGGTGGTGAAACAGCTCAACCACAGTACAGCATTGTCAAGAGAATCAACCGTCGACGTCCTCGTTTGTCGGTGGAGGGGGGAAGGGGGAGGTGCACAAACTCTTCCCATTCTCCTCCGGCTTGAGGTCCAGATCTTTTGAGAGAGAACTCAGGGAATTCTCGGAAAATTGGTACGCAGTTCAGAGTTTGGCAAGTCTGCAGGTAGCATGGAGAAGAGGTTCGCACCAGAGGAGAAAATCGGGGAACGGGGAGGGGGTCGGACTAAGGGCACATTTTAAAAATTCGGATGCTGAGCTGAGTATGGCTGACGTGGTGCAGAAGGGGTTCGCGTTCCGCCGCGTTTCCGACATTTTGCCCACACCTCAGCAACCTTGAGGTAAGACCCACGACGTAATCGGCTTCAAAAAGGCGGAAAAGGATGAGCCATAGTATATAAAATCGGATCATTCCTTAGCAAACTAACGTTGGAGTGAGCGTCACTGAGGGTCAAAGAAAGCCATTCTCACCTGGACGCTCCTGAGATCGTGTGCGGTCTGGCAGCCTGAGGCGTCATGTCGTTGTCATCTGAAGTTAGCAGCTCAGTGGTTGAAAAAACGGCGAATCAATGATCAGAACCAATTATGCTTTGGTCCAAAAGTTCAACACTTCTCCCTACTCAGAGTCATGATCCCCGCAAACTAAAGGGCGCGTGACGGAGCAATGGCCTGGAGCGCAGCCACGTAGGATTTCGCTGTATCGGGCTCAGGATGGCATCAGCGGTGGAAAAAGGGCGCCGTGGCCGCGATGCGATCCGCGCCGCGTCACACGCCCTGTCGTTTGCCGGACCAGGACTGTATATCCTTCCAGAGCTACGTATCTATCATAGTCACTAGTTCAAAGGTGAAAACAGAGTTTATCCACACTCACCATGACTGAAGCTACTACCCGGTGTAGTGGCTCGAGTCGACAGACCACCATCTTCACCCGAATCACCACTACGGTAGGCACGTGCGGCATTCGTCAAACATTGTCGCCAAGCGTTATCGGCACCTTGTGATAAATCGCTGAGAATCGTCTGCACCAGCGTCTGGCCATCAACCAGCTAAAATTGGTGGTTACGGTGGTGAGCAACCAATTAGTTTTTTAATGTCCACAAAATTCACTTCATGTTCCATTTCATGAGAGACTGATATTTTTCGAAAAAAATACATTTGAATAATCTCTGCGAAGGGTAAAAGTGAACATGTTTGGGTATCACGTTTTGTCAGGATGCTGATTTTTTAGCGATATTTTTCAGCAATTCTACTATTCTCTGGATACCCGCCCAGTTCATCCAGAGGTCCAGAGGTCATCCAGGGTTCACGATTTAAGAACGAAAACTCTTCGCTGACCGTTCAAGGGCTTTTGTCCAGATGGGTTCAGTTGACCTACTGTACATCATTAACGTGGAATACTCATGGGAGGAGGGGGGGGGATGTGTCGCTAGGAAGGAAAGAAATGGCATTTGTTTTCCGAGAAACAGAACATCATAGGAACGTGATTTTCTTTCTCTCAAAAAATTTCCCCTTTCTCTCCTGATTCCCTCTCACACCTCCCCCTTCCCTTCCCAATTTCCGCTTTAACAGTTGTGAGTGACATCAACGGAGAAAATATAAATGGAGGGGTCGTTTTGAGAAAGATTTTTCACACCTCCCTACCCTCTCGTTCCTCCCCCCCCCTCCCGAGTGAGCGTAACATCTGGAGAATAACACATGGACGATGGTAGCCTTCAGGGCACAGTATATGTTGGATTGAACCATATCAAGGCAACCCCGTCCTGTAATTGTCATCCAGTGCATATTTTCTTTGGTCAGATGCCTAACGACTCTGACCGAAACTCAAACAGAGCCCCCATTCTGATGAGGCGCCGAGCGCCTTGGCCCCTATCACTAAAACCCTGAGCTTTACTGACCTTAACAGTGCTATCCAGATTATCGACTACTTGTCGAATATGGGAGCCTTCATCGAGAAGAGAAATTTCAGCAGTCTGCAAAAAAAATTGGATTTAATGAGCATCAAAACAAGTGTAATGGTAGTTGTTCCATTTGATCACTACACAGGACGTTGATTGATGCACAAAAAAAGAAACTCACGAGAACCGGCATCAGGGTTCCGATAAAAAACGAAAACTGGGTTCGTTGTTCGCTAAGAACCTGACTGCACAGTTGACGTTGCTCGGAAACAGCAGCTGGATCAGGTCGGCCTTTTCTTGTTCTCACCTTAAAAGTGGTGCATTTCAATTTCAAGCATTTCAAAGGCGCTGTGGTGTTGGTCAGGAGGTTCACGTTGAGACGAACCGCAATAAATAGCGCAACAAAAAAAAAAATATGTATGAGGAAATTCAGTGAAAAGCATGAAATATT